TAGCTTGTTCATCCCTTGGATGGGGGACATTGCTGTTCTTAACCACATACCAAAGATTATTGTGTCTATAAATGTCAGATGCAAAAGAACCAGGAAAACTACTGAGTTCAAAGCACTGAAAAAATTATTATTGCTACCTATACACACGAATCTGGTCAACTAAGAGTCAAAGCTAAATTGGCACTCGTAGATAAGAGTCAACAGAATTCACAAGGAGATGGACTTGGACATTGGCAACACGATGATTCCAAACCGATAGCATATTTAACCCCACCTTCCAGCTCAGCCTGCTCCTCTACAGTTCTGTAGCGGACAAAAAAAGCTCCACAGAGAATCATTAAAACTGCCCAGAATATCATTGGGCTCCAGCTACCAGCCCTGGATGACATCTTCGCATTTTGCTGTTTAAGGAAGTTGCACAACATTCTCAGAAACTCTTCCCATCCCGCTCACAATTTTTGTGAACTGTTCTGGCAGAAGATACAGAACTATTCAAACTGGGACCACACGTTTTCTGAACAGGTTTTATCCCAGAGCTATAATTGCACTTAACAATGAACTTAAGGACCCACCACGAGTGAGTTTTTGGACAGGATTACTAGGTCTGTTGTGTGGACGCTTGTGTGTTTTTAAGAGGCGGAGAATTTTGGTGGGTGCGGAGGTGTTTGGGGATTGTCATGTGTGTGTGTGTGTGTGTGTGCATGTTGAGTCTGGTCTCTGGGAGTTATGTGAATTTTGTTGTATGTATACTGTGTATATATATGCACAATGACAATGCAGAATTCAATTCAATAAAATACAATAAGCCATCGTCCTCCATCCAAGAGGTCAGCATCCACCAGGACCCTGCTGTTCTTCAAAGAACCTCAGAAATGTTTCCAGAGATTCTGCTCCCTGGAAAAGATAAATGAGCAGCTCTTGTTCCCCCATCAAGTTCAGCAGCATGTAGACCAAAAAAAAACCCCCCACCCTCCCCAAACAGCCCTTTTTCTAAAGACCTGGTTGTTCGATGATGAAAAGTGAGCACCATCCTTTGAGCTTAGCAAACAGCTGGAGCACATCTGAACCGAGAAGCGCAAGAATGAGCATACAAAAAAGATGTACTTGCGCCGTAGGCACCCAGTTTGGGAACAACGCTGGAATCGATGGGTTTCTTGTTGAAAATCAGCCCTTAATTCATCTCACTTTCTTTGAATCGTTCATCCATCGATGAGCCCCCCAGCTGTCAATCGAGCCGGCAAAGAGGAAAAGGAGCCACTTCCTCTCCCATTTGTGTAAACTGGGACGGGGGTGTCTCTTTTCTATCCACCGAAAAAAAGATTTGGGGGGGAATTAAAAGTTATTTAAGAAAATCCATATGGATGCTTCTTTCTTGCCATCGATTGAGAGGGAGGGAGAGAGAGAGAGAAAACCCCAGGGAGTGCCGAGAATCACTCTCTAGAGGGGAGAGCCAGGCTCTTAAAACCAACATTAAAGAGTTGGGTTCATTTCTCGGGTTATGCAAAGATGTTTTTTTTTAAAAAAAATGGAGGGGGGTGGCGATACTTTCATGCCGTGCCCAGAGAAAGGATGGATTAGAGAGGGGGCATTTTGTATCTCTTGGGGGGGAGGGAAAGCTGAATACTTTTTTCTCCCTGTTCATCAAATACATCCATCATTTTCAGTATCTCTAGGTGGATACAGTGTGCACCGCAAGGAATTGAAATGTCTCTTAGCTCGAGAAAATATGTTCATAAAATGATAGTCATTTAATTAGTATCATCGCTATCATTTAATCCTTCCCTTCCCCCTTCCTTCCCTTCCTCCCTTCCTTTCCTCCCTCTCTCCCTCCCTCTCCTTCCTCCCTTCCTTTCCGCCCTCCCTCCCTCTCCTCTCTCCCTCCCTCTCCTTCCTTCCCTCCCTCCCTCTCCTTCCTTCCTCCCTCCCTTTCCTCCCTCTCCTCTCTCCCTCCCTCCCTCTCCTTCCTTCTTTCTTTCCTTTCCTCCCTCCCTCCAAAATGACTATGCTTTTTTGCATTTTACTTTTTAAACATTTATCCCTACCCTGCAAAGGGGCAACATGTCACACCCAAGTTTTTTTTAAATTTACATTTTGCACACTTTATTTTAAAGGCCATCACCAACACCCCCCTCCCCCCAAAAAAGACAGTATATCTAGACCAAACCAGGATTAACTGTTGATGACTTGTTGTGAACATGTCCTGCTGTTTTCTTTGTATTTCTTTGTATTTTGTAGGGATTTTATATATTTGATATGGTCAATTGATTTAATAAGGTATCTATCTACCTTTACCTACCAACCTGTCTGTTCGTCTGTTTGTCTGTCTATCTATCTATCTATCTATCTATCTATCTATCTATCTCTCTCTCTCTCTCTCTCTCTCTATCTATCTATCTATCTATCTATCTATCTATCTATCTCTATTGCTATGTCTATCTCTATCTCTCTCTTTTTCTATGTTTTGGATGGCCAAAGCCATTGCTCCAATTCTTCCCAGTTAGTTTCATGGAATCGTTTCTTTTTTTTCCCCTTTTCTCTCCCCCCTCTTCTTCCTCCCCCTCTCTTTTGGGTGTGTGATTCTGTCATTTAATGGAGCGGTAAATAAGAATTTCTGATAATGAGCTCAAGCATCTGTCACAACAACCTGGTGCTGGTTATTAACATTTCCATTAACGGCGGGGTGGGCAGCAGTAATAAGGAAGCCGCACAGTTAGAACAAAATAAATAGTTGGTGTCAGGCATAGTGGGTGTTAATTACTATTTTATTTTATAACCCCGGAGAGGAATAGAGGAGGAAATATATAAATATATAATAATAACATGCCTTATGAAGGTCAGAGCCTGTAAAGGAAGATGCTAACAGAGGGGGAGATAATTGGACCTACATTTTGAGTAGCAAATGGTTTGCGTTTTCTATTTGTGGGGCATTGAACGGGCATCGAGCAAGCAGAGTTATGCTCTCTGGGCCTGTGGACAGAAGTTATTGGCATCCCCTTTGCCAACCAGAAAGGGTTTGTGTTTGGCTCTCCTACTTGCCTTGGAAGGGTTGGATGCCTCTGGTTACCTACGCTCAAATCAGTGTGGGGTACCAAAGGCATGCTTCAGTGAAGGGAAGGGAGGGAGGGAGGGAAGGAGGAAGGAAGGAAGGAAGGAAGGAAGGAAGGAAGGAAGGAAGGAAGGAAGGAAGGAAGGAAGGAAGGAGAGGGAGGGAGGAAAGAAGGGAGGAAAATAAAAGGAGAAAAGGAGGAAGGGAGGGAGAGAGGAAGGGAGGAAGGGTAAGAGAAGGAGGGAGAGGAAGGAAGGATGGGAGGAAGGAAGAAGGAAGGAAGGAAAGAAAATAAAAGAGGAAAAGGAAAGGAGGGAGGGGAAGGGAGGAAGGAAAGAAAGAAGGAAGGAAAATAAATAAGGGAAGGAGGGGAGGGAGGGGAAGGGAAGAAGGACAGGGGAAGGAAGGAAAATAAAAGGGGGAAGGGAAGGAGGGAGGGTGGAAGGGAAGAAAGCAAGAAGGAAGGAAAATAAAAGGGGAAGGAGGAAGGAAGGAAGGGGAAGGGGGGAGGAGGAAGGAAAGAAAATAAAAGGGGAAAAGGGAAGGAGGGAGGGAGAAAGGCTATTGAAAAGTTAATGGAAATATCTGATAAATGAATTTGGGAAGGAAGGCAATATTCCTGTCCCAGGATAACAGTGCAGGATCCAATCTGAGTCAGTCTCTGGGACCAGAGGTTGAGTCTTCCAAGCTTTCAGGCTTGTGCTGGAGCCCGGGGAACTTCTCGCTCTCCAGAATGGTTTCCCTGAGGATGGGCCCCGAAAGCTTGGAAGGTCTCGGAGGCCTCCAAAGTTGGATCCTTCAACAAATGAATTCCTTTGGAGGTGGGACCAGAGGTTCTCAAGATGATGTTGAAGGCAACAACGGCCCTTGAGGACTTGTACACCTCTGCTAACGTTGGTTGGGAGGGGGTTTAGGAGAAGAAGGCTGGGCTTTTCAATTTTACTGGCTAATCTAGGCAGTCAAAATAACATGCGTTGATTTATCCTACTTACGTCCCGCCATTCAATTCTAGCAGATAATTAAGAGGCCTAAAATGCCAATCAAATTAAATCCCCACCACCTTGGATCAAGCTTTCCAAATGCCAGCTTGCAGGGGAAATGTTCACGTCGTTGTCGCTTTGACAAAGTGTTTGCGAGCCCTCAAGGGAAGAGAGCTCCACGGTTGGGGTGGGTGGGCGGGTGGGGAGGGGGATGTGTTCCCCTGACAATGGACTCTGGAAAGAATTCATCTCCCATTTGTCTTCTTCTGGTTTTAAAGACATTGAGTGGGGGGAGGCAGTGTCAGAAAGGAAATGAATCTGTGTGTTCCCCAGACTGACGACTCGGAGGAACATCAACAGTTGGGTTTCAGTCTCTGCTTTCTTGATGATCTGCAGAAAAAGGAAGAAAGGGAGAGAGGGAGGGAGGGAGGAAGGAAAAAGGGAGAGAGGGATGAAGGAGAAAGAGGAAGGAAAGGGAGGGAGGGAAGGAAGACAGAAAGAGGAAGGAAAGGGAGGGAGGGAAGGAAGGAAAAGGGGAAGG